CCTAGTTCGCTTAAACTAATGCTCTGATACCAACTGTGACATCCCCAAAATCACGGCCAGAAAAGACCGATTTTGTTTATGCTTTATAAAAATCAGAGTACTTCATTTTATAAAAAGGTTGCGGAATTTGTTCCCAGAAAAACATGGTAAATACGTTATTAAAACATTTTCGAAGAAACGTATTTATTTCATTTTAAAACGTTTGGGATGTCATCGTTAATACAGGAACATAAGCATAAACAGAACTTACAATTATTCACACTAGTGGTCTACATCTCTTTAAATCTCTCAGTGTAATGTCACTTCATATCAACACCTGTGATATAAATAAACTGAGTGGGTCAGGTTGGGAAACCTGGTGAGCACATAGGGATTTCAATCCCACAATGTTATACCATATATATAGTTTAAAATTCACAAAATATACAATTTCACCATACATATATATAAACAACTCTTATCCCACCCCGTCGATCCTCGCAACGAGGCTATCCATACTCTCGGACCTAAGATTAGTCGTTTTACCTACTCCATACTCTCGGATCAGAAATGAACGAATTTACCAAATCCATACTCTCGGACTAGGGACGAATGACTAATCCATACTCTCGGATTAAAGATGAATGATTATGCCTAATCCATACTCTCGGACTAGGGACAATAGCTAATCCATACTCTCGGATTAACGACGAATGATTATGCCTAATCCATATTCTCGGACTAGGGACAATGACTATGTCTAATCCATACTCCCGGATAAGTGACATATACTAACTTCTATTCTCTGAGTTTAACTCACTTGTACTCGTAAGAATATACTACCCAATATTCCTCATTTTAATTTAGGTCTACTCTTTATCCTAAATTATCAAATATAATCAGGTATGTTCTTTAACACGAATTTCAAGCAACATCAATTAACTCGCACATAAACATATAATTAATACTTCAATCAATACTTGTATTAAAATCATGTTCATGAAAGGGACTATGCACTCACCTGAGAAGGTGGTGACTCGGTACTCGGACAGCGCTTCGTTTACTTTAAAATAATTTCCTTCGACGAAACCTAGTATTATCACCAATAGATTTTAGTCTATTATTCGCCGAGACTAATTAATAGTCTAGCTATTATTACTATTATATAAGCGTTAAAAAAATACTTACATAACCCATAATAATAGCCCAAGTATTTATTATATGTTCTTAATAACGTTAATATAATTAAATAAAAACTATATTAAAAATAGCATAGGCGTAGCTCACTTACAGCGGGTTTTATAGAAAACCAGGCTTTGCTTGGAGCAGCGTTTCCGAGCCGAAAAGCTCTTCTTCTCGGAGCCGTCGAGCACTCCGGGGCTTCCGCCTCGTGCTAGGGAGGTTCCCTAGGCTTTTCGGGGGATTTCGGGGCTAGAGAGAGGTTCTAGAGAGAGAGTAAAGAGAAGAAAGAATGGGAAAGGTGTGAAGAAAATGAGGGTGGGAGAGGTGGTATTTATAGGGTGAAAATGGCTGAACTTGGTGCCACATGTCACCATCTAGTGGCAAGACTTGGGGAGAAAGCAATGGCCAAGATTGTGCCACATCACCCATTTTCGCACAACACACTTCCGACTTCTAAAATCCGTAACTTTCACATACGACCTCCGTTTTTGACGTTCTTTATATCCACGCGTAGGTAAAAATAATATCTACAACTTTCATTGGACTCCGTCGGCTAATTCTCGACCGATCTTAAATTTAACAGTACGAGGCGTTTAGACTGTTAAATGACCGCGAAGAATTCGTAACTCCTTCATACGGACTCCGTTTTCGTCTGTCTTTTTACCGTTGAGTTCCTATTAATGAGATCTTCAACTCTCATTTATTTCACGTAAGCCAAAAACCGCTCGAACTAAAATTCGAGTTTCGGGCTGTACACTGCTAAGCCGAATCTTAGAAAAATCATAACTTCCTCATACGAAGTCAGATTTGGGCGTTCTTTTTATCGACGCTCTTAGTTTAACATATTCTACGACTTTTGTTTAGATTGCTAAGGCTAAAAAGTCTTCTATCATAAATTCACTATTTACGTCTTCCGGTGCCGTGCCGGTTTTGCCGTAAAACTTCGGCGGGCCATAACTTCTTCGTTATAACTCGGATTTCGGCGTTCTTTATATGTAAGGAAACCTTGTGACATATTCTAAAACTTGGTTAAGACTATTCATTCTAAATAATCTTTTGTCGAAAAGTCATTTTTGACCCCTATTGCCTCTAAATTGACTAGCCCGGATCTGCGGGCGTTACAGATTGCAAATGCTATAATATTTGACCATTCTAAAATTTTCCAAATGTCTAGCGCATTAAGAGGGAAAAAGGACTAGAATCGGTTTTGACTAAAATAATTAAACAACTATCAAAGGACGATCCAAAGTTCGCTGATGATTGGTCGCTTGTGAGTAGTTGGAAGTATGGTATTGGATGGACCATATCGACATTATTATGAATAGATAAGATTCTATTAAGAACGAGTTGTCATATGGAAAATCTGGAAAGGTTTCCATATTGGGAGTTGGATATTGAGAGTCTATGTCTAGATTAGAAAATTTTATGCAAGAAGGATGTTCAAAGGAATGTACTTTGAATGTGAGACTTCACGTCTATGGAATTTTCTTGTAACAAAATCCGATAGAGTAATTTGTAATTTCATTGGCCAAGTCTTGGTGACATTTGTGCTATGATTTTGCGAAAGGATCGTTGCATAAAATGTTAGAATCTAGCATATTCTAGTAGTGGTAAGAACCTTGTGTTCTAACATTAATGATAAGGATTGGGAATTGTGAAATGAGCATCATTGCAAAAGTTTTTCATTGATATATTTCACAAAGTAAGGACCATAGGAAACATAGTATGCATGCTTTGTGCATGGCACAACTATTGTTGTAATTTGAGTAATAAGTTGATTTTCTGAAACAGTAAATGATGAATAATGAGTAATCAATATGGTGTTTAAATAAAAGTGTTTTATTTACTCCCACAAGTTTGGGGCTATATAGGATTATGTATTATTGTTGTGTTTCAGTTTGCATGTTTTGACTTCCAGAATAACTGGGTTATTCGAACCTCCACAATCGGCCATACGTTGGAAGTAGGTATGAAGGAAGACTATCATGAAGAGTCTGTAGACTGCCTAAAGAGTTTAGACATAGCACAAGTTTGCTGCAGGGTTCATGAGTGCTTTGATAAGATTAAAGTATTGGATTAAACCCACGCTCACGTGAAACACTTCATGGATTATATCACGAGTGATTGTGAGTCGATAATATTGTATATTCTTGAAACCGAGACGCGTGAGTTGTTATTTGTTGGTCGGTTGCACATTGATAATAAGTAAACGCCCTAGTAACTTGGTGTTATAAAACTTATTGTTGTGTGTGATTCGATCAATGAATGCAAGCGAGCATTTGAGTCGAAGTATATCCATTCCTTTTACCCAAAGTGGGATTAAAGCGATATATGTGGGCCCCTCGATGATTTAGTGATGACAACTGAGCGCTTGGCCAAGCCGGGACTAAGTTGTTATGTTCAATCGTAGTTTGTTGTCAGTCATCATAAATCGGAAGTTGGGAAACAGTAGAGAGAGAATGATCGAAATTCATGTCTTGTGTCTATACGACATCTTGAAAATGGAGGAATATATGATCCCTTATCTAAAGGACACACGTATCTGATAAGATCAGAGTTGATAGTGGCTTATGAAAGCTACGATTGCTGATCAGGTTCTGAAGTCATACAGAAAATAGTTATTAGACTTATCCAAGTGGGAGACTGTTGGATTAGTGTCTAAGTCCATAACTATTATGAGCATGGTCCTTTTGGGTTGCCTTCACCATAGCAATATGTAGGATGAATTAAGGAGAGAAAGGTTTAATTATGATTTATTAATATATTATAAGAATAATATATTAAAGGAGAAATCATAATGTTTAATTAATATTAGTCAAGAATTAATTAAGAATTAATTTTGTGGCTAAAAGAGATTAATTAAACTTATGGGACTGGAGTTGTAATTATAAGATAATTACAATTGGGCTATGGATTACCTAATAATATATAGGTTGGACGAATTCTATGGTAAGCCCATAAGGAATTCGTCCAAGGGGATATGTTAAAGGAGTCCATGGACTGCTTAGGGCCTCAACAGTTAGATTAGGGTTTCCTAGTTGCAAACCCTAATATATAAAGGGTCTCCTATGCCCTAAAAACATGGCTAAGAGTTCCTTTAGTGTTTCCAACCTTTTTTGGTGCCTCCTCCGTCTTCATCCAAGTTGCTTAGTGGTGTTTGTGGCTCCATTAGAGGTGAAGCACTTGAGGCACTAAGCTTTCTGTAGCCAAAGAATGATTGTTATTGCTATATAACAATCAAAGATTAGATATAAACCATATTTTATGTTAATATGCTTAATTGTATGCTAGATCTAGGGTTTATAGCTTTGGATATTTAATTGCATGTTCATTAGACAAACTGGATCCAAAAGCTATTAGGGTTTTCATGTACACCATAGGAAAGATGTATTGCTTGAAATACATCATATATATATATATATATATATATATATATATATATATATATATATATTAACCCATTAGGTTTTCTATAGATTAAGTGTATTAAGTTAAAAAAACACAATCTTAGTCGATTAGATTATGAGGTTCAGTAATGACTTGACTTTACAACCCTCCAAGATGATGTTATAACTCCAAAAGAACAATGGTATCATATATATGCCACATCATTTTTTTTACCTGTGAAATCGGATAAAAAGAGATTAATACCTTTTTTAATAGGTCAATATGGACTTTATGTCTCTATAGTGCCAAAAATTAACACCAGAGACCCTTTAAACCATAAAAGAAAAGTTTGTTGGACTTCAATGAAATTACAAACATAATAAGTCAAAATTAAAGAACATATCAACATTCAACTTATATATTAGTTTTCAACAAGAAAAACATAAATTAAGGGATTCTTCACTGACGAAAGACTTTTGTTAATAAACACACCCCTAACATATTTTACATTCATCGGCGTAGAAAAGTAATCATATTCCTGGGTTTATTTATTTGAAGGTATATTTTATGTTGCACACAAACCGATCTATCATTTAAAATGTATTATTAGAGATGACAAATGATTTTTTAACCTTTTCAGCGTCAGTTGGCACTTTGACGTTGGTTGCTAATCCGAAGGCTTCAAGACATCGTATCACGTACCAAGTAACATCGATTTGCCACCACTCTAATCCATATTGAGCCGAATACTGAAATGCATGATGATTGTTATGCCATCCTTCTCCGAACAACAACACTCCTAACCACCTTCACAAAATTTGGACAATCGTTTTTGTTAGATTCTAGTATAAGTAGCTCATTCGTATATTTACACACATACCAATTGTTTTTTGAGAGATCACCAGTATTCCATGCTTGGTTTCCCCAAATATGGCCAACGGAGTTCACGAGGGATGTGATGTGGTAAACCCATACGATCCTAACACCCTACGTACAAAACACACACACACACACACACACACACACACATATATATATATATATATATATATATATATATATATATATATATATAATGGAGAATACATAATTAAGGAAACAACTACCGAAACCAATGAAAACATGACAACACATCACATATATATATATATATATATATATATATATATATATATATATATATATATATATATATATATATATATATATATATATATATATATATTTACAGGTAAATTACATCAACCGTCTTTTGTACATGTGTCAAAATGCACATTTAATTTCTATTTTGAAAAATTATCTCAAACCGTCCTTGGGTTGTTTTTTATTGCACGTTTTGTCCATATTGACATGCAATCACTATTTTACCCTTAATAATTTATTTTTTCATTTTATTTTATTACTTTATCGATTTTAAATTAAAAACAAACATAAAACAAAGAAAACAAATATCCCCACCTATTCCCTTCAATTTTCCCAACTCCATATTTAACACATACTTAATAGTAAGTTTCAAGAAATGACATGTGCCCTTTTAACCGTTTGTGGAATGGGGTGTTTAATCTTATCATTTAAGGTTTAGATGTGTAATTTTGACCAAATCATAAGGATAATTTTAGTAATTCAAAAAGAAATAGATATGTGTTATTTTATGACCGATAGTTAATACTTAATTGCATTTTTTGACTGTTAGGTCTTAGAAAAGGAAAAAACCTTATTATGTTTTTTTACCGATTGATTTATTTTAAAAAATGGAACTTACAAAAAATCGGCCGTTGGCTAATAGGAACAACAGAGACAACACAAGATAGGCTACCTCCGCTCCTTTTGCTTTCACCCTAATGGACGATGATATGGGATGTAACGCATCCAACAGTTTGGTAAACCTCACTCAAGAACACAACACTCTGGGTGCGGTCTAGGATAGAAGAATATAGGGTTCAATTACCTTATCTTGCATTCTCTCTCTTGTTTCTATTGGCCAATGATTTTTTTTAAATTTTCATTTATTAATTTTTTTGAAATGTATAAAACGGTAAAAAATGGCAACAGTTTTTTTTTGGAGGTCTAACGGTCAAAAATTGTAATATATATATATATATATATATATATATATATATATATATATATATATATATATATATATATATATATATATATATATATATATATATATATATATATATATAAGGCGCAGCTCAATCAGTTTGGGGCCTTAAGCGACCAAAAATTTGGGGACTTTTGACATTTACTATACTTAATGTTATAAACACTCTTCTTTTATCCGGGCTTGAGACCGACAATAATAAACTAAAAAGGTTACAAATGGCGGAGTTAATTTTTTTTTTTATGCAAATGAAAGATAAATATAAAAAATTAAAATTAATTTTGAATGATTGGGCCACCTCTTTCCAGTTTACTCTCATGCACTTTTATGATATTTAGTATACCAAACACATTTTAAAAGAAAATAAAACTTTTTAGACTTGAGCTTTCACTGTCAAAATTTTCATTAACTTTAACAATGAAATCAAAATTATTTAATACAAAAATCATGATTGAAATCATATAGAAAGCAACCAGGAAACGACAAGATTTCAAAAATAATATTATACTTGCTCACAATCAGTATGTCTTGGTATTAACCAAACAACATTTTTAATTATTTATACTTCATCGGTTTATATAACACAATTTCATTTATATAACTTTCACATTCCGCTACAATCCATTGTGAAAACTCAAAATATTAACCCTAATTAAATGCCTTTTAACCCCAATTAGATAATCATAGATAATAATCAAAACTAAAAATTGAAAATAGAAAACATATGACCGTTTCAATCATTCAATGACAACAGAATAGCAGCAGCGAGACAGCGAGAAAGAAAAACGAAGAAGAACCCGGTTTTTTTGGATGATGATCTGCTGCGATTCAACGATTCAACGAGACAACGAGACAACAACTCAACAGAAGAGTAGAAGAAACGATTGGAGAAGAGCCTTTAATCGAGAATGAGAATGGAAAAAAGAACGGAAGTTTTTGTTGTCGTATCGTCGTTTGAAGAGTGATCAACACTTATACCAGATTTTTGGAAACTGATAACCTTGGATCAAAAGTAAACGGGGGCCCCTTACAATTGGGAGCCCTAAGCCCTACCTTTACTGTTTAAACAATAAGCCGGCCCTGACATATATATATATATATATATATATATATATATATATATATATATATATCATACTGTATTATAAAGGAAACATTTTTCTTTTCACCACATTCATTTGAAACTCCCATGACTTTTCAATTTGTTTCTAATAATAATTATAAGTTGATTAATTAGGTTAAATAAATATCAAACCTAAAGTGTAATCACATATAAACTAAATTTCAATATTAAAATAATATATTTACTTCTCCTTATTAAGTGATTTTTTAACTTTTAACATATTAAACTTAATTTATTAGTTTTAATATATTGTTGGGTGTAAATCATTATCATTTTAAAGATACAATTTTGGAACAATTTGTATAAAATACTTAAATTATTAATTTGAATATAACATTACAATGTCAACCTAAATATAAATTTTAGTTTAACTTAAACAAGCCAAATAATATTTTGTAAATAGTTAAAAGTGATTAATTGTAGTGTTTTTCAAATAAGGATTATAAGTTGGTTAATAAGGTTACAAAAATATTAAACCTAAAGTGTAATCATAAATATACTAAATTTTAATTTTAAAATAATATATTTACTTCTACTTATAAAGTTATGTCTTAACTTCTAACATCTTATACTTAATTTATTAGATTTAATATGTTGTTGTGTGTAAACTATTATCAGTTTAAAGATACAACTTTTGAACAGTTTGGACAAAATACTTAAATTGTTATTTTAAATATAACATTACAATGTCAACTTAAATATAAATTTCAGCACCACTTAAAAAACCAAAGAATATTTAGTAAATAGTTAAAAGTTATAAATTTTAATGATAAATGCAAAGTAAATTGTAATCTCTGTTTAACTAAAACATTTCCTAAAGATATTTTTATAATCGCTTAAAGTTTTGAAATAAGTAGTTTAAAATAACTTACAATAAAAATAGTTAAAAATAATTCTATATAAATGATTATATTGTTACCTTTAAAATCGAAAAATAATATTTGATGTTTTAAATAATTATAATGATAAAAATTAAAATATTAAGAAAATAAATTTTTACAAATTAATTAACAATAATAACAACTATAAATAACATTAAACAATATATTATATTTAATTTTATTCATGTATAATTCACTAGTAGAAGTCATTCAAACGATTGAGATTATGCAGTTATAATAGATGTATATATTATTATATAATTCAAAATAATCAATATATTATATCAATTTAGTATACGATTTATTATATCAAATTTAACAATAACGTTATTCCTATATTAAAAAAACATATATTTGTAAATACTTCAACTATATAGGTGTTTCTGCGCAACGCGCATACATTCGCCTAGTATATATCTTATAAAAATAGCATTTTTTGTTTCACTACATTCATTTGAAACTCCCATGCATTTTTCTTTTCACCACATTTATTTGAAACTCCCATAACTTTTCATTTTCTTCCTAATAATGGTTATAAATTGGTTAATAAGATTGAATAAATATCAAACATAAAGTGTGATCATATACAAACTAAATTTCAATATTAAAAGAATATGTTTACTTCTACTTATAAAGTTATGTTTTTTAACTTTTAACATATTATACTTAATTTATTAGTTTTAATATGTTGTTGGGTAACCATTATCATTTTTAAGCTACAACTTTTGAACAATTTGTATAAAATACTTAAATTATAAATTTAAATATAACATTACAAGATCTAGTTAAATATAAATTTTAGTTTAACTTAAATAACCCAAATAGTATTTTGTAAATAGTAAAAACTAATAAATTGTAGTGTCTTTCTAATAATGATTATAATTTGGTTAAAAATGTTAAATAAATATCAAACCTAAAGTGTACTCATAAATAAATTTAATTTCAATATTAAAATAATATCTTTATTTCTACTTATAAAGTTATGTTTTTAATTTTTAACAGATCATACTTAATTTATTAGATTAAGATGTTGTAGTATGTAAACCATTATCAATTTAAAGTTACAACTTTTAAACAGTTTGGACAATATACTTAAATCGTTAATTTATAATATAACATTACAGTGTCATATTAAATATAAATTTCAGTTCCACTTAAAAAACCCAATGAATATTTCGTGAATAGTTAAAAGTGATAAATTGTAGTGTTAAATGAAAAAACTGAATTATAATCTCAATTTAACTAAAATATTTCCTAAAAATATTTGAATAATCGTTAAAAGTTTTCAAATAAGTAGTTTAAAGTAATTTAAAATAACAATAGTTAAATATAACTCTATATAAATGATTATATTGTTACCTTTAAAATTAAAAAACAATGTTTGATGTTTTAAATACTTATAATGATACAAATTAAAATGTTAAACAAATAAATTTTAAAAAATTAATTAATAATAACAACAACTATAAATTACATTAACCATATATTATATTTAATTTTATCCATGAGTAACTCGCGGGTAGAAGTCATTCAAACGGTTGAGATTATGTAGTTATAATAGATGTATATATTATCATATAACTCAAAATAATCAATATATTATATTAATTTAGTATAAAAATTGTTATATCAAATTTAACGACAACGTTATTGTTATAATTTAAAAACAACATATATTTGTAATAATTCAACTATATATGTATTTCTGTGTAACACGCGGATATTCGCCTAATATATATATATATATATATATATATATATATATATATATATATATATATATATATATATATATATATATATATATATATATATATCTCCCTATTCTAATAAATGAATAGTTTTAACATCCTTTTGCCAAGTGTCATTCTAATACACTTCTCATTTAATATTATGTCATGTATCATGTACATATATTAGGCAATTCATTTCAAAATTCAAATTTACATTTTCAAATTATATGTTAAACTTGAAGTCATAATAACTTTAAAATTTTGATATATCTTTTAATTAATAATTTATTTAAAATGATTTATTTAAAATAATTGATTAATAATTATAAATTTTTATTATAAAATTTTAATTAATTTTATAACCGTGGTTCCCACGGGTTATAAACTAGTATATATATATATATATATATATATATATATATATATATATATATATATATATATATATATATATATAGAGAGAGAGAGAGAGAGAGAGAGAGAGAGAGAAAAGTGAATTGAAAAATATTATGTAGATGTAGTGAATAAAATTAGCCAAACATTTTAAAAACCAAATAAAATGTATATTAGTATTTTTTTTCTTAATTAATAATGTTAATTACCTAATTCACTTATTATTCTCCTATAATCAAGACTAGTTACCTTAATTTTATGAATAGTGATATTTATCTTTGTTTTCTCTCTTTCTTTAATCGCCGTCTATCAATGCCATCACCACATCATTTGACGAACATGTTCTGGTTTTGCATTAATCGATTATCAAAACCTTGGAGGCATTTTTGCCTTTTCATGATATTTAATTTTTGTAAGTATTTTTTTTCTTCCAATTGCTGCCAAAAACATAAAAAAAATACATATTATGTGTATTTTTGTTTTTGATTTTACTACCGTATGTGTCTATATGAGATATGAAAAAGAGGAATTAAAAAACCTTTATTTTTCATTTTTTGGTATAAGATTAACCAAAACATTTAAAATAAAACTAGAATAAACAATTTTTTTTTTTGCAATGGACTTACTTTCTATTGGTTTTCTATAATTTTATAGCCCTAGTTAGTTGCAGCTATTTTTTTTCTGTTAGAATTCCCTTAACAACTATTATTTTATTTCAAAGAGAAGATCATCAAATTGATTCTATAAACCATCAAAGAAATCAACTTTATTATGAAGAAAGACCCAATTTATTTTGCTAAGCATTTTACATTTTATGGAGCATACGAGAATACCTCGCGTTATTTTAAAGTTTAAAGGATACATCATAATCTGTAAGAATATTACATATTCTTTAAGAATACTAGTATTTTTTGTTGTAAATTTCAAATAAGAATGGTTTGATTCTTTCATTATTTCTCTGTAGTTGTAATTATTCATCATCTGTTTTTGTTTCATCGAGTGAGAGTTTTTTTTTTTTTTTTTTTTTTTTTTTTTTTTTTTTAATAGGAATTGTTTAAAATTTAGAATATTCTTCTTGTGTTGTTAAAATTATTTTTAAAATACATTTTATTTTAAAGAATATTTATAAACATGCTCTTGTTAAGAATTCTGATTTTGGAGGGGTTATACATTGGAAAAAATGTTGGCTCTACCTTTTATAAAATTATAAATTTTGAATTTTGCATGGTTCATGGATTTTAATTTTTGAAAGAGTATATAAGTGTTCTTTAAGTATTATAGATAATAATTAATATAATTAACTTGATTTGAATAAATTTCATAAATTTATGGATTTGCTAATTACCTGCCTAAAATCAAGATATACAAAAATTCCATATTATCTGAAAATGATTGGTCTAGAATTGTCTCTACGTCCACACAATAGATGTCATCCACATTATCACCTAACCCTCTCTCTCTCTCTCTCTCTCTCTATATATATATATATATATATATATATATATATATATATATATATATATATATATATATATATACACACACACACACACACACACACACCAATTTACAACCCTATAAATATTGAACACCCTAATCCCTATGATGTTTTTACATTCTATAGTTGGGGGTTTAATAGTTCAAACAAAAGTAGTAGGATGAGGCAAAACAAGAAGCCATTAATCGCATATGCTGAAAACCCGAAAAATATGCTGATTTGTGTTGAGGGAGTGGAACGCCTCTTCTGGGGCGCGCTGTGCCACCCACCATGTGCGATAAACATGTTTTTAAGGTTTTGAAGCTATTTAAGGTGAATTAACTCCAATGGTTTGTCATTCCTCAGCCTCCATTAACCCTAGAACATCCATTGAGAAACCTTAACCCCCCTTTGAAGGTTTGAGCTTATCCTCTTTCTTCTCATCCATTTTGGTGTGTTTTAGTGGTTCTAGAGTGAAGAATTCTTGCAAGATTGATAATTCAAGATTTTAAAATGAATAAATTAGCCCTTGTCCATCTTCTTAACCTTGATATGTCTTAAAGATTCAAGCTTTATGGGTTTTCACCTTTTGATCTATGAGTATTTGGAGTTTTAGTGCTTTAATGATGTTTTGGCTCCTTTGATGGTTTGATCTATGGAGTTTGGATAACTCCATGATCTAAGTGCAACAATCAACTTTAGATATGAGGTTTAAATAGATTAGAGAGTGCATGCAAGAGCGCTCTTTACTCAATGCTTGAAGAAAAATTGGATCTTGGACTTTTTGGAATCCAGGGTTTTAAATATAGTCAGTTTGGGGTGTTCTAATAAATAAAGTTGGAAAATTTATCCATTAAGACACCATTTGGATCCAAATATGAGAGTTTGAAAGCATGGACTTAAGAGATTAATTCAACAATTAAGTGTTGGATTAGGAGAGACGCGAGCCGTTTTTTGAGTTTTCTTAAGTCCCTTCCATTTAAGGTCAAATACCAACTATTTTTTTTTCTGTAGTGGGGGCGGGGTGCCCAGGCCGTGTCACTTCCATTGATGAGTAGGTTGGCTTTTTCACTTTTGACTATATTTGGGTCATAGAATGAGGTTTGACATGTATTTTATGCCTATGTGGTTCATGGGACTGACGTTTGTGAATATTCGCATGCAGATGGGATTTTTAGACTCCATTGAGGTAAATTTTCTCACTATACTACATATTGTAGCATATATTCTCTATAATATAGGATGTGTTTATAATATAGTATTCTGTTAGACATGATTACTAGAGAGTTAGTTATATGTGGTGTTGGATTGTCTGTGTATCTATTTGATATATATATATATATATATATATATATATATATATATATATATATTGAGTTGAGGGCGGTCCAAATTTATTTTGAAGGCCAAAAGGGGTAGACCAACTCTGTACTGAAGGCCATGGCGAAGTAGCCTTATGCTAAAGGCCAAAGGTGCGGACCATCTTTATGCTGAAGGCATGGGCGAATCAGCTTTGTGCTGAAGGCGATTATTGTATGTATTCTATGTATATTGTGGTGTGTGATATTTTGGGTAATTCATTAAGCTTTGTGCTTACAGTTGTCGATTAAATGTTTCAGGTACTTATGAGGAGCGTGGGAAGAAAAAGGCGTGATTGTGCACATACGTTGGCAAATTATGTTTTGAAATTTCGTATTGTTTTCTTTTAATACTTTGATTTTGGAATTGGGTTTATCAGCAATGATTTTATTTAGATTATCACTTATTAAAATGGTTTTTTTATCTTATTTTAATGAAAATTATTTTGAAAATTGGGACATTACAAAATACCCATTCTAATCCACTATTAAAATCACACCGTTATCTATCATTTCGTCTATATTTCTTTTATTTTAACAACACAAATTAATACAAACACCCAACCCTAAATATATGGTAGAATAAATCCTTGTCTTTCTAGTTCAACCACGCAAACTAGAAACATTTTCATTTTCGATCCGTCTATCCTGGTTAATCATCCCTAAATTGATGCCCCCATTCAATCCCCCCTCAACAATACATGAAACACAACCCTTCACCCTCCACCCCCAAAGGAAAATAATCAATGGAAAAAAAAACAAAGGGCAAGCATAAAGGGTGGACTCCTACAGAAGAGTTAATGTTGACACAATCTTGGGTTTACTTTTCATAGGATTCACAGCTAGGAAATGCAATCAATTGAGCATTTATGGCTATGCATTACTAAAAGATTTCGCAAGGAATTGGATATTGGTGATGACTAACATACTAAACACCAACTAAATTTAAAGTTTTGAGAAACTTTAAAGTGTGTTTCGAAGATGAACAAATTATACAACAACCAAAAAACCAAAGGAGAAATGGTCATGATGTTGATAAAATTTTACAAGAGGCTTTGCATTTGTATCACAAGGAAACAATAAATGCGTTCAGTTATACGCACACTAATATTTGTTCATGGCAACCCTATTTTTTTAGCATCCTATTTAAGCATGTGTAGGTGGTTTTTATCAAACAAATGTGTCTTTTTGTATCGATTTATTTAGTACATAAAATGATAAAAGACATATGTTCATATAAATAATGTATTCAAATGAAATAAATGAGAAATCAATATGTAATTAGAATCTAAGAAATAAATGCAAATAAAGAGATCATACCATGCCCCAAACGAGGTATGCAAATCCACCCCAAGCATACAAGAGAACACCACATCCAAGTGAATGACACATGTATGTTTTTTGTAAAAACCTGTAGAACGTCTGTTTTTTTAAATCTTCCACATTTTTACGTTCTGGATACTGCATTAAGACAATGAATATAATATAGTTTTAGGATGTTTTGTATTCTTTTCGCATAAGATTCAAATAAAAACTATTGCAACAATATATTTTTTAATCATAAATTACAATTTTAATTAAAGAATATCATGATACCTTTTCAACTATGTAACCATTGTCGAAAAACCAACCAGCATAACTAAACCAAAACCCGTTTATTGGTGAATGTGTATCATTATCTGAATCCACGTATTTATGATGATATCTGTGGATGCTCACCCAAAATATTGGATCTCCCTACATGAAAATAAAATAAAATATAAATAGAGTATTATTTGGTACGACCAAATAAAAAATGAATCCATTGTGATTTATTTTATTGAAAAAAAAGAATATGATACCTGTGTTTTCTCATACAATCATGGAATATAATGAGTTTTTCTTATACAATCATGGAATATAATGAAAAGCTTGTAATATAATTTATTTTTATTTATATAATTATTAATTACACATAGCTTTATTTTTAAATTTCATGATTTTATATATTTTCAATTTTCTTTTCTCAAAATAACTACAAAATATATTTTTGATTGTAATCATATATAGTTTTGAGCGAGTAGTTATTGTGCTTATTACTTTATTTTTTAAAATAAATAGCGAGTTAGCTATTCTTACTGTCATATAAAAATTTAATTAAATCAAATGATCACCAATATCATTATCTTGTTTATTCATTAAATCCTCAATCTATTTTGTACAACTAAACAAACTCTTAGGTGGTGTTTGTTTTTTCTCCGCAGATCTGCGTGGGCTCTTTTGTCTGTGTGGCGCAGACCACGCGCAGACTTAAAGGTTTGCAGTGTGTTTGTTTTTCTGAAGTGCGCAGACATAAAAACGTCTGCGCGAGGTCTTCACTACACAGACTTGGGCCAACATCTTCTAACGTCTGTGAGTGTTTTAAACCTAAAAAAAAAATGCGTCTTCTATTGCATCCGCCTCCATCGTCAAACCTTCCCACCGTCCACAGAACCATCCATCTTCAATCCATCGACCATCGATCCATCGACCATCGAAGGCATCCCCGTCGCCGATTAGCACCCTCGTAGCCGCCTGCTCTCCGATCGAAGGCATCAGGCGCGCATTTGACTTGTACAACGATCGATTCAGGCGACCAGCATCGACCATCGAGGCATCCCCATTGCCGATTAGCACCCCCGTCGCCGATTACCACCCTCGTCGCCGCCTGCTCTCCGATCGATTCAGCGACCAGCGAAGCGAACAGGTATCTTCCTTGCGTTTTTTTTAGTTCCAAATGAAATTAACATGAAATTGATGATTAATTGGGTTTTCTTGTTATCCCTCCGCTAGTGGTTCTCAATCAAACACCCTTCCAGTTTTCTTCAAGCACTTCTCTATTTGGAATTTCCGCTCCAGCTTTTGGCATTTGTGCTTCAAAGGGCAAATCCGGTAATTCCACTATCTAGGTACACCTCCACCACTAGCATATTCTTGTTAATTGTTATTACAATAGATGTATATCTAATCCTTCACAATATGCTATTAGAATACATGTATGATACATGATCAGATTAGGTTTTTGCATACAAAAATAATGGAACCAAAGTCATGTATCATGTTTGATTGATATTCTAGAAAATAATATAAATATATAGAGCCTATTTTGCTGAAAATTAAGAAAATTAAAGAAAGTCTTGCCTTTTCTTTTCATGTTTATGTATCATAAGTAGTGCAGAATCAGAAGAGTAGAAAGTAGTGAAATAATTCTGAAAATTAAGAAAATTAAAGAAAGTCTTGCTGTGAAATAATGATGTCAATTGTGAATTGTTTATTGCTGTGAAACAATGTTGTCAATTGTGAATTATTTAATGCTGTGAAATTAAGAAAATTAGTTGTTGATTGTTTATTATTATTTGGTTTTGAAAATACTCTTGATTGTTTCAAATCATTATTTTTTTTGTAATGTGTATGATATGCAATACTTTATGGAATCATATTTGTCAATTTGTGAATGCTACAATACCTTATGAAATTAGTATTGTCTATGATATATTGCTTATTAGAAATGGGAGAAAAACAACAATGGACCAATGAGCATTTAAAATGCTTATTGGATACTTGTATTGAAGAAGTAGAGAGTGTCAGTAGAAAAGGATTGAGTTTGCAGAAAGACTCATGGATAAGGCTTGGAAGAGTTCTTAAAGAGAAATTTGGGTTTGAGTTGAGTCAAAAACAAATGAAAAATGCATATGACAATTTGAAAGCCAAATACACATGATGCGTGTATTTAAAAAACAAAACTGGTAATATATACAACTCTCAAACAAACACTTTTAACTTAACAGCCGAGGAGTGGGATGATTTTAAGAAGGTATATATATATATATATATATATATATATATATGTATATATATATATATATATATATATATATATATTAAACATTTATGTTTGACGTCGCCAAATATTCTTATACTATTTTTTTGTTACATTTGGGTTTAGGGGCATCCGAAGGCTGCTTCATTGAGAACAATTCCAATGCCTTTTCCAGATCTTTGTGCACGTCTTTTTGATGGAAATAGTGCTACTGGTAATTTTAGGAGTTACTCAACCCAATCATCATCAGTAGCTGGAGCATCCTCTTATAGTCTTCCACCACTTCAGATTACTACCACCCCTTTTCATGCAATAGATGATGATGGTGAACACACTTCCCACCATGAGCCACCACCTTCTGCTGCTTCACCTTCTACTGCTTCACCTTCTGCCGCTCCACCTTCTGCAGCTTCACCTTCTACTGCTTCACCATCTGGTAACCCCAACAAAAGGGCTAAACCCTCAACTCCTATACCTCCTAGTGCCTCACCGTCTGCTTCTTCACCTGATGGAACTTCTATTACTGGCGACGATTTTGCATTAGAAATGAAAAAAGCTTTACAAAGTTTGACTAAAGGGTATACAATCCCTCAATGTTTAGAGAAGTTAGAGGTGCTTCAGTTAGGCCCCACCGATCCTTTGCGCTTTGTTACATATCATATTTTTGGAGGAACCATGAACATGAGAGAGATGTGGATGCATTTGCCCGATGTTCCTGAGATATTACGAGGATGGCTTGAGACGACGGGTACAAGTTTAGGAGTTTTGAAGGATGGAAAGATTGTCCGATGATTGTTCTAGTGTTGAAACTATTTGTTAGGTCTTTTTGCCTTTGTTGGAACTATTTTGTTAGGTCTTCTTTCTTTTCTTGGAACTATTTTTTTGTTATGTTGCTACTTGGAATATGGTTTATCTAATGTTTTTTTTGGTACTTGAAATATGATTAATGTAATGTGTATTTGCTACGTCAAATATAGTTTATGTATGTTTTTTTGCTACTTGAAATATGGTTTATGTAATTTTTTTTTCTTTTTTTTTTGCTACTTGAAATATGATTAATGTAATGTTTTTTAAAGCTGTACTTTGTTGATTTTAGGTTCATAATGGATCACGATCAAAAGTTACTTCTCGTAATTCTTATGTACCTGTACATCCGTTTTTTTTGGAAGAGGGGTGTGAAACGATTGCGGGATAATGATTCGGAAATGACAGGACATGAATACACATTGGAGTTGTTACATCGTAATCGTTTACAATGTGTTGAAGTACTAAGCATGTCTCGTGACTCTTTTGTACGACTATGTGCTCATTTTAGAGCAACTTATTCATTAAAGGACAACAAACATGTATCGGTTGAGGAAAAGATGGCCATGTTTTTGATGATGATCTGCCATAATCAACGTTACGTGATTATCAAGCGGAGATTTCAACACTCGAAGCAAACAATTCATAAATTTTTTTATGAAGTGTTGGAAAAAATGATACTTTTCGCACAAGATGTTACAGTACCAACTTCTTTTAATCCGAATCCAAACATTCCAGGACATAATAGGAGGCTACGACGGGTTTTCAAAGGGGCAGTTGGTGCACTTGATGGCACTCTGATACATGCTGTTGTCCCTGCTAAGAAACAAGACTTGTATAGAAGTAGGGGAAAGGGAGACTGCTACCAAAACGTATTGGCAATTTGTGACTTCAATATGATTTTCACATTTGTTGTGGCCGGGTGGGAAGGAGTAGCGCATGACTCTAGAATATTGTCAGAAGCAATAACCGATCCACAATCATCATTCCCATTTCCACCACCCGGTAAGTTTTTGTTTTTTTAAAATACTATTATCTTAGTTTGAAAATTGATTAGTGTTTTTCATTTTTTACAGACAAATATTATCTTTGTGATGCCGCATATGCACACACTCGAGGATTTATGGCCCCTTATCGTAATGTGAGGTATTGGCTTGGAGATTTTCGTCAACGACGTGCATTGACCAATAAGGAAAAATTTAACCATGGACATGCAAAACTTCAGAATGTCATTGAGCGTGCTTTTGGTGTTTTGAAGTCACGTTTTCCTATATTGAAGAGGATGGCACCATTCCCGTTCGTGACACAAAGAAACATTGCCATGGCATGTTTCGCGCTTCATAATTTTATAAGGAGAGAAGGAATGAGTGATGAGTATTTTGCACGATACGATGATCCCAATGTCTCGTTTCGAACTAACAATGTGGGCGTTGATGATGATGAAGACGAGATTCCAACACATGGTACTACAGCAGACCGTGAATATATGACTCAGTTACGAGATGAAATTGCTGATCAGTTGATGCACAATATAGATTGAATTGTTTTAAATGAAATTGTTATTGTAAAACTAATTTTTTTTATTGTATGACTAATTTAGATGCATGAATTTTATTTTCAATGTTATAAGACTATTATTATTAAAATTTTGGTGTTGGAAAATCATTTTATGTTTGTAAAATCATTTTATTTAAAATTTCAATTTATTTCAGCAGCCTGCAGACGTTAAAAAACAAACAATCTTCTTATTGCAGATTGCAGACGTTTGGTCCACCTCTTCTGCTGCAGAGGCTTGCAGATGTGGTCCGCAGACTGCAGACATTTTGGTTTCAGAAAAACAAACAGCACCTTAATCAGTTTAAGCAAAATTAGATTTCTGATGAAGCTAAATACAAACCTGACATGCTAGGACCCCAAAATAAGCAAACGTGTACTCGAGCCATTTGGGAAGTTTCAAACTATGGTGAGACAAAATTCGATGGTAAGAGAGTGTTATGCCTAACATTCCTGTTAGCAAGTAACCAACAAATGCAACCCAAAAAGCATCCCAAGTGAATGAAAATGGTGCACAGAGGGCAAGTAAATGGAAAAAAGTAAACCATGATGCCGCTTGGATGTCTATTTTTTGCCATTTTCGACCCGAAAAATAGTTCCTAGTTCCTGTCACCACCACATTGGAAAACGGTATTTTCTGATGATCTGATTGGATTCCACCATGAGAGTCGGAGAGTGGCACCAATACGTTTGTCATATTTTTAAATTGTGGAAAGTAGTTTGTGTTTTTCTTTTGGTATGCAGGTATAAATAGCTAATATTTAGAGATAAATATCTCCACCTAACTACTTCTAACAAAATAAAATAAAATCTCTAACCCTTTAAATTTAAATGTTAATTATCAACGTTTTTTTCAATTAAATGACATATTTTTATGTCCTTGTATCTTTACTTTCTTTAGGTATTTAAAAAAAACATAATTATTTTCTTGAAATTTCACATTTGATCTGCGACTTTTGGATATGTTCTTTAAAGTTCAGAATATATACTTTTTACTTTGTAGGCAATATTTAGGTCCCATTTGATAGTTGATGGCTGAGAAAGATCTGTCTAGGTAAGAAATAATGACTGAGTAAGAAATCATGCTTTTTGCTTGTACATCTGACTGAATGTGCTGAGTAATAAAAAATGACCATTTTACCTTTTAAATGTAAATTACACACAAATCCTTTACAAATTCAAATAAAATAAAAGGAATCATTGTTTCTATAAAGACATAAATTGTTTTCTAACAATTCAAACAACTCATGACCAGATGCACATTCATACATCAATTTTAAAGGATTAATAATTAGCCATTAAAGGATTGATAACAAGCCATAACACGTGGAGCAAAAAATCAAATATTAAAAGGAAAACAAATGAAAAACTTATATGCATACAAACACATATAATCTGAATAACATTCAACCATTCTCTTTTTCCATTTTATTCCAAAAGGACCATTCCATGAGCACAAAACTTTGAAAAATCTTGCATTCCCTGAAATTGAAAAGAAAGAGACCAAATTGCCCTTTAGACAAAACTGTATGACTCCAGCTCTTGTAAAAAATAGATCCTCTCATCCATAAAAACCTTCAAATTCTTATTCCCCTCTAAATTCATTATCCGAAAACTCCAACAGGTCAAAAAATAAACTAAAAGAGTTACAAAAAGATAATTCATCAGATCAACCATTATCTTTTTCAATGGGAATTCCTTTCTTAAACAATATGTTATTTCACTCATTCTTAAACAATCACAATCACATTAAGTATAAGTACCTCATTAACAAAAGTAATTACATTACTAAATACTAACAAATTCAAAAAGTGAGAGTAATTTTTATACGTTGTTGGAGGCATAGGAATAGGATGAGAACCCGAATTCAAGGACCATAAGTCGGAATGATCCCCTGAGTGAATTCCAAAAAAGAAGTTGATGTGAGAATGAAGCATAACACCTAACGATGCAAGTGTCTGTGTGTTAGATTTGAGAGTCGATGATGCGAAAATCAAAACATTCAGAGAAATAATCACAAAAGTCGGAACTATTACAAATGTAGAAATCGATGCTTGTTGGCCGACGATGGCAGAAATCGGAACTATTATGAGACGAGGAAGGAGAAATCGAACTTCGATTGGTGCTTGCTGGTTGCGAGAGAAGAAAGGATTTGTTGAAATGGAGGCGTTGCGTTAGGGAAAGGGTACCAGGGGACACTTTTCTCACTTTCTTCAGTCATCCGAATTTATATTCCTTTCCAGTCAGACGCGTATTTCCGAATCAGATGCATAAAAGTTGTTTGTCAAACATGTAACGCCTGTGTTTCTGGGCTTGTCATTAATAGCAAAGTAATAGTCTAGGTTAACCTTTTTAACCCATTTTAAAATAATAAGAATGTATTATTTGAGTATTATGTGTTTTATGCTTAATTGTTTAATTGTGCGACTTAAATGAATTAAGGATAAAAATACGAGTTAAAATGAAATATTAGATAAGCCCGATATCGATACATGAGGACGTAGTGGTCGTAACGAGCTTTCCGAATATATAAAGAATGCCGAAATCTGAATTATAACGAAGAAGTTATGACCTGTTGAAGTTTCGCGACAAAACTGGTACGGCACAAAGCGACGTAAATAGTGAATTTAAGATAGTGTGGTATTTAGCCTTAGTAATGTAAACGAAAGTTGTAGAATATATTAAACCGAGAGAGTACATAAAAAGAACGTCTAAATCCGACTTCGTATGAGGAAGTTATGATTTTTCTAAGTTTCAGCTTAGCGGTATGCAGCCCAAAGTTCGATTACGAGATCGAGTGATTTCTAGCCGAAGCAATCTAAATGAGAATCGAATATCTCATTATTAGTAGTGCAACAATAAAAAGACAGATGAAAACGGGCGTCAGATGAAGAAGTTATGAATTTATAACGAAGTTTTCTTGTCCCGGCCTACTAAAAATAAATAATAAAAATAAACTCAAAATTAGCCAATGGAGTCTAAAAGAAAGTTGTGGAGTGTAGTCTCACTTACGCGTGGATATAAAGAACGTCGAAAACGGAGTTCGTATGAGGAAGATATGAATTTTTGAAGTTTATTCAATAATTAAAATATTAAATTTAAATATAAATTCAGATATTATCCAAAGGGGAGGGGGGGGGGGGGGGGGAGTCACCGGGCTTATCCGGGTTACGCCCAGATTACCTGGATTTACGCCCAACGTAAATTGAGAATCCAACCCCTATAAAAGGAAGTCGAGGCTGCCGAGTTCTTTGCTCATTTTCTCTTCTTTCTCTCTCGTTTTTGCATCGTTTTTCATGTAAGAAATATCCTGAAGCCCCGGTATCATCCCTGAGACCCGAAGCCAGTCCCGAAGCCCCGAATATCCAAAGAAGTGCAATTCCCGAGCCGAAGCTCTGTCCGCGATAAGCCAATTTTTTTGAAGATCTTCCAGATCTAACGAAGAATACTACTTCTACAAGCCGTAGTGCTGTCCGATCATCTTCTGATCAAGTGAGTGTGTAGTCATTTTCTTCTAACGCATAATCATGAAGTATTTTATATAAAATACGTGTTATGTGTATATTTTGTTGTTATATGTGTGAATGTATATCCATTTTCTTCTATCTCATAGATATGATTTGTTCTCTATGAAATACGTGTTATGTGTATGTGTCTCATATGTTTTTTTGAATATGTATTGAATGAGAATGCTATACAGGTTTTAAACTATGTATAAAAATATATATTTTTATCTACTAATATGTTGAGTAGAACATGGGTAGATACTTGATGTGTGATAAAGAGATGAG